GGTATTCAGCAGGCTGAAGATGTTAATACTTGGAAAAGCCGTCTCCGTGCGCACAGGTCAATCTCGTAAAATAACGTCGCATGCTCAGTGGGTTGAATGTTACATTCGCTGGTGTACCGGAATCTTTATGGTGTGTGGCAAAAAGTCGGGGGTAGACTCTCTTGCCATGCTCAAATACTTATTGAAGGTCATTCAGCTCGCTGAGAAACGAATTGTTCAAGCAGCTGCGATCTATGACCATAAATACCGTGGTTCCTTAATAGGATACTGCCAGCAAGGTCACTCGATTGCTGACGTTCTGGAGAAGGATTTAGACCCATCTACGTACATTTCTGCTTAGTTTGGTGGTTTGGCGGATACTGGTCAAGTCTCCGGTAACGACGAGAATAAAGAGTCGAAGAAAGACTCGAAGAGAAAACTCTTCGGAGTCAGAAAACTAGATTCGGGCCCTAAAGCCGAATCGGCAGTTAAGAGGGCCCCTTTATCACATTCCAGTCTTGTCTCTCAGTTTGTAAGTCACAGTTTAAATGCACTATCTGAATCGGTCGAGGATGATCTACAGAAACTTACGTCCGGTGCTGGTCTGGATTCCCCTAAATTCTGGGACCAGGTTGCTCCCATCAACGTTGATAAGGCTCACAAGCTTCTCAAAGTTCTTACATCTGCTATCTCTGATACTGGTCTCGACACGTTCCTCGTCGACATGTGTCTCATGTGTCCCGGAGGGTAAGAATCAATTCAATAAGTCGTTGAATATGTCACGCAAAGCGCGTTAAATCCAGTTTGCTCTATTTTGGAGGCCCAATCAAGCACTTCTGAAGTAGGGTCTCCCCTAATACCGTCTATTATCGCTTCCCTCTCATCACTTTGTGGCGAAGAGTTCTGTGAGGAATCTGAGATCCTCTTTCAACAGATCGATAAAGACTGCTCTTTAGGGCAACGTGAGCCCATTCCTTCATCTAGTCACTGGCCCGAGGCAAAACCCCGGCGCGCTAGAGAGGTGGAGCTACTACTTGGAAATTACGTCTCAGCTGTTGAAAACCACCAACTTTTGGAAGAAATTCTTCAGGAAAAGGTGCATTTGGGGCGTCTGACTGTTGTTGGTGCAGCAAGGCAATTCCGAGGTGTCGTTACGCCTGTAGCTTTGATTCCCAAGGGCAGTTGCCCAACGGAAAAGGTTCGTCAAAAGGCGAAGCACTTCCGGGTAATCGAAGACTATAAAAGGAGCCATATAAATCAAAAGGCCTCCAAATTTTCGCAGACGTTGTGCCTAGCAAAGTACTCAGATATCCAACTCCTCATCCGAACACTCTTAAAAAAGGGTTATGAACAAGGAAAACCCTTGAAAGCCTTCACTCTTGATGTATAAAGTGCATTCAGGGTCGTAGGTATCATCCCGAAAGCGGCTTCTAATCTCAATGTCCGGTGTGGAAACAAGATTTTCAGACACCTACTCCTAGCCTTTGGTCACCGTAACTCGCCATATTGTTTTTCTGCTTAGGAAAAGGGCAGCTCCTCCGCGGTTGAAACCGTGCCAGAGAGTTGTCTTTCGGCGAAGCCTGGTTTGGGACAGCGATTGACACAATCGCTGCCGGCACAAGGGGACAAGCCGGAGTCTTTCAAGCTGCCAAGCTAGTCACACAAGCCAGACTGGCTTGACAACCTGGAGTAGTATATGTGTTAAGCGTGATATTTTTTTTAACCGAGGTCTCCGATGTAGGTCCTAGGGGCACTCCAGGGAGCAAGCTTCAGTGGCTTACGGCAGAAGCTTACTGTCCTGAGTATCCTCAGTGTACCTTGCGTGTCATCCTCCACAGTGCCCAGATGGCACTCGTGAGTCGACACGCGCCCTGCCACACCTCGGAGGCTAGATGTTTCATCGAGTTGCGGGAGCTGTACACCGAGCAATAGTCTCGTTGCTTCATACCTGGTCTTTAGAATCTTGCTTGGACTTAACTAGCGGCCTTCTGTATGTTGATGATATGTTGTATGTAGGAACAGAATGAACTTTTCTGCTATCCATGGCCCTGACTATCCTGTTCTGGAATATCTGCGGTCTCACCCTGACCTACGAGAAGATTAGCGTTGGCGAGGTAACCAAATTGTTGGGCTTCCAAGTAACAAAGCATCATAACAACCATTGTAACATT